AAATCTGTACTTTTCGGATCACATCACGTTTTTTGTCTAAAGTATTTATTTTTTGAAAAAACTAATTGATGAATTATAAAGTTCTATAGAAATGTAATGTTTTATCAAAAATAAAATTTTCAAAATTTTTATTTTTTTGTTTTTGAGTTCTACAAAAATATTTATCTTTTTAAATGGCAACCCAACAAAAAAACATTTTTCCCTTGAAGGTCAAGATCTAAGGGATTACAACTATCTACTTTATATTAAATTATTTTTTTACATATCTATATCGCAATTTAGACAACAAAAATCGAATAATACAAAAACAAAACAAAATTCTGTTCGTAAAAAATAATTTTTTTATATTAGTTTAATTTATATTAATTATTATTTTTTGGAAACAAATGATTTAAAGAAAAACCGCTTAGTTCAATACTTTATATTCACCCAGTATAAAACGAATTTAAAAAGAAAACTCTCAGCAGGGAACTAATTTTTTGAGTTTGGCTTACGAATTACCGGTTGTTTTCTCTTTAAAATATTTTGTAATCGGATTATTTTTCTTAAACTGTCCAATTTTTAACTTGAACTGAAATCTTTAATCGGAAATTAGTGATTTGAAGAAAATATGCACAAATATGCAATATTTCCTAAAATATGCACCAAGTTGCCAAAATATGCATTTTTTAGCTTATTTTAATCAAAAAACATTAGATATGCATAGAAAACTTACAATTTTGTTAATGTACCTCTTAATGACAAATATGCATTTTGCATATAATCCGAACCTTACTCATCACTTGTTTACAAAATTTTCCTGTTTTTTTATTCTGTTTATTGTGGTTCACGTGAAAAAACAGACATCGAGTCGAGTTTTGATCAAATCTAATCTAATGCTAATTTTAGCGTCGTGTTATGTCTTGTGTTGGCTTCGGAATGCCCTTTGAACTTTCCTTCGGTCGTTTCTGGGACGGTATTTTCGTGTTGTTAAATGGCGTAGGAAGTGTCTTGTTTTAATTCTGTTAATTTCATTTTTGAAAAAAGTTTCAGACGTTTCTGGCACAAGGAAGTGGCAATGATTTAAGAGAAAACCAAAATGATTCATTAATTTGAACTGTCGCAAAACTTAATTATGTTAATGTATTTTAAATTGTAATTTATTCATGCCATTGTATTTAAATCGCACACATGTCATATTTATACTGAAATTGTTTACGTGTTTTTCATCACAAAGTGTCAATATTTGGAGGAAACTGATATTAATTTGGTGTTAGTTTAGGTTGTAAAAACTTGTTTGGAATAAACAAATTTTATGAATTAAAATAGGCTTCTGACTATCGATCCAAAAAAAGTAAAATGCGCTCTGTTGAAATTGTGATCAGATTTATTATCTATACTAAATAAAATTGGATGTTTGTCTGAAAATAAATATGCTTTTAATCACTGAAATTTAAAAAAGATTCGCTAGTAAAGTGCGCTCTGTTGAAATTGTGATCAAATTTACACTTAGTAAACACATTTATTACAACAAAGCGCCACAAAAATTTTTTCTACTGTTTCAAGTGCTCTCTGAAATTGTGATTAGGTTTACTTTTATTAACCGTAAAATTACAAGCTGGAACACCCTATACAGGGTGGTCCAAAAGTCTGAAAACTATTTTATTCTGGCGAAGCCACCAGTTTTTTGGCAAATAAATTTATAGGTGTCCAATGGCTATAAAAATGCTATTTAAAAAAAATTTTGAATATTAATTAATTATTTATACTTACGAAATAAACATAATAATATTTTTTTTAATGGAAACCTCCTACATTTTTTTTAAACGAGTTTGTTACAAGAATTGTTGCAGTGAAATTTTTTTTTGTAAATCTCACACTTTTTTGTTAAAAAAATGTTTGACTTACAAAAATTAAAGTATTTTTTTTGAGTAAACTACCAGTTTTTTTTGGAAATAAGCTAACAAATATTAAAGGTTGTAAAAGAACAATGCCAAAATATTTTTAATTTTAATTAA